TAAGTGCCAAATGGCATAAATTGAATCAAACAACAAAACTTTGGTATAAACTTTTATTAATAAATTTGGATTTAATCGGCTGTATTTGGCAGCTGAATAACCCAATTTGGACTAGTGTTTGCATTTTTTATTTAGCAAAAATAATAATTTAATAAAAAAATTTTTCAAACATTTTTTTATAATTAAAATTGATTTATTTGTATTGCTGTTTAAATTTTTTTTAAATCTTTATAATACCATAAATATATACAGTATATAAATTGATTTTTTATTTTACAATATTTAAACTTAAAAAAAAAGTATTGTAAAAGTTTTTTAATAAATATATTTATTTGTATATAATAATATATATATAGTATATAATTAATAACATTTGTTTTCTTCAGTCAATAAACTGCCTTTTTTTAGTTCGGTGATTGGATGATCTTCATGTTTATTCGCTTCGTTTGATAAAATGCAACAAAATTCTAAGCATTCTGAAATTCAGACTTATTTGAAGTCCCTTCCAGAGATAAAGTCCCAGAGTAAAGCAGATTGGTATTGGGCCAATTTTGCGAACCAAAAAAGGACAAACCCTGTGACTTTCAATGAGTGTGTAGGGTTTTGGAAAAAGGTCCTGTATGAAACTAGCAGGCAAGGTTGGCTAGGAAAAGACATTATTTGTTTAGATACAAGTGATAGCTTTGAAGATAATTTTAAAAATAATGGCTACAGTCCGATGAGTCTTCGTTGCGTCATTGTATTCTATGATTTTACTTTCTATTGAGTTGCGCAGTTTATACGTCTTTGAAAAGTTCTAATGCACAAACCAAATTAAAAATTTTATCCAGAATGAATTGTACTTAAATTCAGAATTAATACCTTTAGAAGAGTTTTTATCTGCTCAAACTCAAACATGGACAAATTGGGTGATTTCAAAACTATTATCACCGATACAAAAGATTGCTGGTGCAGATCATCCAACTAAATGGGTTGTGGTAGAAACGCTCAAAGAAGCTGCTAATCGAGTCCTTCAACATCAAGAAAAATATGCTATCCACGGAATCACTGATAACCTTTACACGATGAAAACTTTTAAGGCCGAATTTGCAGCTGTGGCAATTCCGGATTCTGTGATGTCAGAAGTCGATTTAAAGGTGGTGATAACATATTTAGAAGTTGAGAAAAAGATTTTAGTAACAAGTACTTATGGGAGCGCGAATGAAGATAACATGGTAAGATTTGAATAATAATTGTAACAGTTTTTTTTTTTTTACGATGCTAATATCTATACATTATTAGATAATCAAATTCCAAGCGAAAAATAAAAATGACTATAAGCTCGAAGTCACGTCAACAGATCGCGGTATTGTTACTATCAAGGAAACGTGTCAGAAATTGCATCAACAAGTTCAAGATATTGAAGCACGGATAAAAGAGTTTGTATTTTTTTTTACCGGGCACCAATTTCAAAACATCTTGGAATGAAGAGATTTGATTTAAACTCAGCTATTTTTCTTCTAAGGATTTCGACAAAACTTAATGAACATATTATTCTTAAGCAAAAGGTCATGGCCAAATATTGTTTGCGACAGAAAAAGCACCTCGAACAAGTTGTATCAAAGAGGCTTGGATCATTAGAAACAGTTGAAGGAATTTTATCGAAGATTCAAGGGGCCGCAAGCGACGCTGAAGTAAGAATTAATTATTTCCTACTTTGGAGATCTTGAACATCAACCCGTTATAAAGTAACAACTTGAAATTTATGTTATAAGATAATCGAAATATATAATGTTGGAGCAAATACTTTAAGAGACATTTTTGAATCATCTGGACTCACCGCTGATTCGGTGGAAGCAACGATGGATAAATTGCAGGAAGTTTTCGCAGATCAACAAGAAATTGATGATGCTATGAAAATAGGTGATTCATTAATCGATACGACGGTTGGTCAGGACGAGGAATTGGAAAAAGAGCTTGATGCATTATTGATAGACGAAGAAGTGGTCAAAGAATTCCAAGGGAAATTAAAATTAGAACCTTTGACAATAAAAGAATCAAACGAAAATGATGTTTTGTCTCCAACATCAGTGCCAGAGAAATTATCCATACAAACCGAGGAAAATGAAGAGAGAACTGCAATTCCGTTACATTAAAAGAAGAACTATTGCAATTCTTCAACATTTATTATTTATCTTTCATTCAAATAAAGATCTTTGCAGTTATTAAATTAGGCTATATTTAAAACTGAGTTGGTGTTTGTTTACCTTAAATTATGCCTAATTTATTATTTATTGTAAGTAAATAAATGTCATAAGTTAAAAATAAATCACGACTGTCAAGTATAAATATATTTAATCAAGATTTAAGAATTTTAAAATAATTTTATATGAATTAAATAATAAGATTAAATATATACGTATTTGTAAAAAACAAATAAATATGTATGTATTATAAAACTATTATTACTTAAATACAATTTAGTTAGGGTTTTCTAAGATTTTTGAAACCTTTGAAATATTGACTTTTAATATAAATGAGTAGAAAAAAATAAAAAGTAGGTTTTAAAATTATATTCTAATATTATAAAAAAATTAACTTTAAATAATTATTTATAAAAATTTTTAATATATAAAAACCTTTCTAAATATATTTTTTTAAATGTACTTACTATGTTTTTTCTCTTTAAATATATAGTTAAGCTTGATTTCAAGTACATAGAACTTTTAATAAAATTATTTTTATAAATATATATTTTTTAAAAAATTTTTTATGATTTCAAGGAGTTATTGTATATTTAAAGAGAATTATATATACAGTATATATAAATTTTTTAAATAAATGAAATAATAAAATAGTTTTATAACAATAATAATAAATAATAATAATAATTTATATTTATTTTTCTTTTTTTTATTGAAACCTAATTATTTAAATACTATCATTAAGATATGATATGATAAGTTAATTATTTCAATTTGACTTATATTATATAATAAATAAATTGTTTTATCTTTAATAAAATATATATACTGTATTTGAAAAAACTTTCTCTTATTTACAACTGTTTTTTTAAAAAAATTTTTTAATAATAATTTTGACTAAATAAAAATACTTTATACTTTTTATTACAAGTAAGCTTTAACTTAAAAACTTAAAAACATTAAAGACAACTGGTGCAGTGAAATGGAATCTTTGATCAAAGTTTATTTAAGTTTGAAAATCTTGTTTATTCTTCAATTACATAAAAAAGACTTATAGTGCAACCCATACTTTTTTAATATTATAAAAATCATTACTATTATTATTATTATACTTATCAAATTTATAAATACTTTTTAAAAAACATATTCAAACAAAGTTATAAGATCTCATATTTGTTTTAATTTAATCTTTACTTACATTTTCCTATTAGCAACATTTATTGCATTACTTAAAAAAATCTATAATATTTTTCAATTACAAAAATTAAAATCAGTTTACTCTCTTTAATTAATTAATGTTTGGCAATCATCCAATTAAAAACAATTATATAATTAAAATCAAAACAATTAAATTGGTTTAAACTAGTTTATAACTATAATAATAATGTTAACAACAATAATAATAATTATATTATAAATAACAATAACAATTATAATAAAAATCAAATCACTTATACTTTTTCTATTTATATTAATAAAGATTTTATTTACAAGTTGCAAAGAATTGAAGATACAGAACAATGAATTTAACTAGAGATTCTCTTGAAATATTATTTTTTTCTTATAAATTTTATAGTTTACTTGATTTTATTTTAGTTTTAGTTATATTTATTTTTTTTTATCAAATTTTCTATATAACTTAAATTTTTTTTTCTAAGTAAATAAGCATAACTGCTATTTGATTTATATTTAATAACAATATTATTTTAAAATTTATTTTTAAAATTGGTTATTTATAGTATTAATAAGCAAGTTAACATTTAATTTGTTATATGTTTTATATTTAAAAGATATTGATTCTTTTTAAATATATATTTTAATATATATGAATAAATAAAAAATTAATGTTTACTTCAATTATACAAGGAGAGTCTAATTATAAACGATACCAAAGTTACACCTCTCAATTCATACCTATCACCAGGCAACATTCTATTTGCAATATTGGACATCGCCCAGTGGAATCCACATTGCAATACTATCGAAATAAGGAGTAACAAGAGAATCCTTCAACCAATCCCTGAGTACTCCAGAAGAATGGTCAAAATCAACTT